GCCGGAGACGAGGGGTTGTACAGTGCATTCCAACTACGCTCGCTGCGCACCCAAGTAAGCATAATCGCGTTTCCGGGCGAGAGGTGCGTGGCTGGCACCGCAGCTCCTGCTGTCTCCTGCCAACGGGGCAACGCGAGTCGGGGTTAGGTTTAGAGAGCAAGTAAACGTAACGTGACTTGTGGGAAAACGTGCAAAACCGAAAAAAATGAAACTGTAATTTTACAGCGTCTTGGCAAATTGGCCATAGTGTTCTTGTTTAACACGAAGTCATCAAGCTGAAAACACTTAACTAACACCTTCAAATTGCAATTAATTCCCCATGCATGCGTTTTCGTTACGCGTTACGTTACGACGCCTTGCTAGAGTGGGTGTGGCAGCCGGGCGGGGAGGTCAAACAACTCATCAATAACCACCGCAAACATTTTTCCGACAGGCAACGAACGCAACCAAATTGCTCGACATAAGCGAGTACAAAATTATCAAAACAATAAGTAAATAACGAATCTATACAAAATGTGTGGACAGCTACTTTGAATTATTTTTCTTGGGAAATGTGAAAACTCCAAACTTTTGTCCACTTCGGCGACACCAAAACCCTCCTAGTTATTATCTGACCTCACACAAGGAATACAGGTGGGTGTATGCACTTACATACATGTCGCCCATAGGAAGCCATGAGGCCAAAGGACAGGTGACACGCCGCGGGGAAAAGCGGGGCGGGGGGACTGCCAAGTGGGTGGAGGCTACACCCAACAGGTGAGGCCTATCTGACTGACGGGTCGACTGGGCTGAAGGCCGAGTAGGCTGTGATCGCTTTGGGGTGGTAGGGACATGGCAGACACATTCCATTTCAAGATTTAAGACCTGCAACTTATCAATGTACCTTAAAAATTTCTTTAAATTAATTACAGCAGCCATTGACTCTAGATAGCCTTTAATATTATTAGCAATTCTATTAAAAACAAGAAGACCATTGTTACTAAAAAAATTCAAGGAGCAATCAAAACTACTCTAAAAACACAAGAGTATGACAAAAATTCCTAGATATGAAAGAGTAGGGCACACTTGTACTACTCTTGCAAGAGTGGGAAATCCTATCTTTGTAGTATATTTTTACTGTTTTAAGAGCAGAACAAGGGTATCACACTCTATAAAGTTTAGGTAGTTTGTACTCTTACGAGGGTAGGACTTCCGACTGCCCTACTCTTGCATTTTCAGGTATTCATGTTTTCAAAATTAGCTGTTGAGCTATTTAATCATTTAAAGTCGTGGCCATACCACTGATGATTAGAGTAAAATTTCTCCTTTTTTGTCCAAATTGGAGATATGTTTAATT